CACTGTATATGTAACATATAGATGTACACTGATTTGTTTGTTCATCCGACCACTGATGGACAGTCAGCCTATCTCCGCCTTTGGCTGTTGTGAATAGTGCTGCTGAGAACATTGGTCTACAAATACCAGTTTTAAGTCAAAGTCACATCAGCTGACAAAAAGTAGTCTGGGGGTCTCCCAGTGAGTGTGGTCTGTCTGTCTTGTCTCCCTATTCCATTCCTTCCCGATCCGTGGGGGCGGAGTTGAGTGCTGCAGCAGGAACCTTGGTGAGGTCCATTCCTGGCAGTAGGAAGTTGGCTTGGTGCCTGCTTGGGGCCGCCACAACCTGTGACCTGTGCCCGCACCTCCTCACTTCCCCCGCTTCCACCTGTTTCTCTGCTGCCCCAAAGCTGTTTGGAGAAATTGTAACAGAGGAGTGTCCAGAAAAAGGGAGGCTCCAGGTTCCTTGTCCCACCTAATGAGGGGTGGAGCTGAGCCGCCAGGTGAAGGTGGGTATCCAACACCCGAGAAACAGGAGGAGACACACCTGGAGCAGAGAGTCTTGTGAAGGAGAGCTGGCTTGCTTCTCAGCTTGGGACTTGCACCCGGGCCTTGGGGGACTTGGAGGAGACGCGTGGAGGAGAGACATGCTGGTGAGAGACACTCGGGGAGGCTCACGATGGCAGCCATTACCTTGATTTGTTCTTTGATTTTGCTCCTTTCATCCTAGACTTGCCCGGCCCCTCTTGTCTCTCTCCCCCCCAGGAGGTGTCTTAGACTTCTGGCAGGCTTTCAGGCCTCGGCGGCCCTGCTTTGCGCCAACCCTGTTTGGGCATTTACCCACGAGCAGATGAGCGACTTCGGGAGTTTCCCTGGGAAACTATGTCCTTTCTCTTCTTCCCTCGTATACAATCATTAAAGATCGTACACACTAATAACAGGCTTTGTCTTTATGCAGAGGATGGCAGAATCCCTTTAGAGCAAGCAAGTCTGGGGAGTCCCAGGGCACCCCTCATTGCAGCCGCAGCCACTATCACAAAAGGTGCCCTTGCAGGATCCCAGAGTCTTTGGGGTTTTGGAGAGGGACTCGCTTTGTGCCCCACTCTAGTCCCCTGGGCCCTGACTCTGCTCATGTCCCTCACAGATATTTCCATGAACTTGTGCCTCCATGGAGGTTCCAAACCAGTCCAAGGAACTTCAAGGGCACAGATCCCATTCCCTCCCTGTCTAGGCTTCTGGCCTTTTCTTAGTATGTTTTACTCATGTCACCTCCTCCCCCACCCAAGTTATGGGGGGAAACTCCCTTGCATACAACGGCAGGAGACCAGAAACCAGTGTGAGGGTGGGTGCACTGGGATGGGGGTGTGTGTATGTTTACACTGTCGTTTCCAAAGCTGGCTGATGGCACAATTGCCTGGGGAGCTTTTTAAAAGCATAGCCTCCCCAGGAGGGCTACCTCCTGAGATTCTGGTTCATCACAGAAGTGACAAGGGTGGCGAAGAAGGAATTTTCCAGGTGAAACTTGGGGCAAAGCAAGTCATCTGAGCACAGTGTGCAGTAGGTACAAAGACAGGGAACTAGCTCAGAGGGAGAATGTCGAGCCCAGGGACATTCTGGGCGGCTAGCGTGGCTGGAGGAGAACAGAGAGCCTAGGCCTTAAAGCTGAGAGGTGGGTCGCCTGGTGCTTGAAGGGCCCTGAAGGCTGGGCTCAGGGGTTTGGACTTGATCTTGTAACTCCTGCCTCTGGTTTTGGGGTCAGAGGCAGCTACTTGACACATGCAAAGCCCTGGTCCCCATGCCTCTGACCTGTACCCCAGTTCTTGTATGCATAAATAAATCTTTGGGGAAACAAAAGCAACATTTACCACCTGGAGCTTCCAGGGTGTTCCCTGGGGGCAGGTGGAGGCCTGCTGGGAACAGCCAACCACTCCTGGTAACCCCAGGGAAGGCAGCTGCAGGTGGAGCCCACCACAAGTTCTTCACTTCCTTTTATTGGCATTCAAGGTGGTTTAACAACCACTGGCTTACGGGCAGCTATGTGCTTAGAACTCTGCTTTGCTCTGAAAGGATGTTTCTGGGGCGGCCAAGTTGCTGAAGATGTCACAGTTTTTTCAAAGGCAACATAATGACTCAGGGACACTGTCACTTCCACCACTTATTTTCTTGCCCTAACAATCATTGCGAGGCCTAGGATTTCACCTACGATGGTGGCGTCCCTGTGCCCTGCTCTGACAGATGCCAAGGGCAGCTCTTGGGAAGGATGTGGGTTGACCTCAGAGGCTGTGTCCTGTCTCCAGTTCAACAGTCTCTGAGGGCTCTGCGCCAGGCAGTGAACAAGGACTGCAACAGAGCGTTTCTGTGAGCCTCAGTTTCCCCACCTGCAACTGGTAATACTACATTAAACAGTCCCTAAGTGGAGGTGACGTGATCCAGTTGGACTCCACTTAACATGGAAACTGTGACTTTAAGCAAAATGACATCACTCAAGCAGGCTCTGGACCATCATTTAGTCCAAATGTTGGAATATACGAGGTCATCGTAACCAAACGCTCTTACAGGGAAGGACGCTGTTGAGGGCCTGCTGTTTGGAAGGTAAAAGTTGCGTTTTGGAGTCGGACCTGGGCTTAAATTCTTACTGCGCCACTTACCAGCTGTGTGACATTACTAAGAGTATATGAGGAATAAGAGGGGTGATGTCATGCGGGCCATGCTAAGTGTTCAAAAAACAGTAAAACCACAAAGATGGCCACACGTACCCCTCTCCCTTCCTTCCTTTGTAAAAATCCACCCCACTGGGGCCTCCCTGGTGGTGCAACGGGTTAAGTAAGTCTCAGCAGTAGGAAGCTAGCAACAGCCACTGCAGCATGAGTTAAATTCCCGGCCAGGCAGCTGACCCACATGGCGCAGCAGACCTCTCCTGCCTCACCCGCTGCTCCCCTCAGCAGTGTATTTCATCAGTCTGCCTGTTCTGTTCCCCGCTCTGTCTCTGATGAGTCTCTCACCCCCGTACCTCTGGTCTACACCCCAGCTCTTGTATGCATAAATAAATTAAATCTTAACCAAAAAAAGCCCACCACAGTGAGGGTGGCGTGGGGAAAACGGAGAGGCTGGGGCTCTTTTCTCCTTCCTGGCATCAGCCTCTACAGCCGCCACCTGTGGCCTTGCTTGCCTCCCAGGTTTCCTTGCCCGCATGCTGATGTCATGCTTGGGAGTGCGAGCAGAGGGCACGTATGCCTGATTGTGGACACCCGGGCCGACCACGGGGCACACGTACCTATAGATATGGACATCTGGGCAACGACTGCAGAGGAGTGAAGCCAGAGAGGGAGCAAGATCGTGGTGTTGGGGGGTGTGCTGGGAGGCCCGGTTGCTGCCAGCCTCCCTACCTCCCTGCCTGCTGGTCTGCCTGACTGGTCCTACTTCAGCGCTAAAGTCCTGTCCAATCTACCTAAGGCTCCAAGATGCTTTTCCGTTTGCCTGAACCAACAATGAGCCTGCCCGCCCTGTGCCTGGTTTGCCCCTCGCAGGTGGATAGGATGTTTGCCGCTGTAGGGAATGGAAAGTGACTCAAGCCAAATGAAGCCATAGCTCAATCCTGCGCTCGAATAAACAATTCGAGCAGAGCAGAGGGGTCTTCCTGGCGGACTGAACACCATGGTTCAGTAGGGTCTAGGTCCCCCCTTGATTCTCTGGGCTCTGCTGTTCCTGGCCTCCTAGTGAAATATCTGTGGTGTTACAGATAGCTGGGCTCGCATTGCTGCAGGCAATGCTCAGAGGGAAAGAGAAGGAATTGCTGCTAGTTTCCCAGAAAAGGGAGGAGGAGCTGTGTCCCGTCCTCAGGGCTCAGGAGCCTAGTGAACATTCCTGACCAATCCTGGGCCATGGGATGGAATTATCCAGAGGTCAGCTAGGTTCTTCCCAGAAGCCGAGGGTGGGGGGTGGTGGGGTAAATTTCTCTTCCTCTGAGATGAGCACAGCTGTAAGGGAGGTGAGGCAGGGGCAAAAACCTGGTTCCCAGAAAGGAGGAAGAGGGTAAACAGATGCTGGGTAAATGGCCTCTTGTTGACTTTTTTTGGGTCAGATGTGGAAAATGGTAACTATTAATGGCTCCTTGCAGTCTGGTGGTATCCAGTCACTCTTGGAGGGAATTTGTGGCCTGTTTTGTTTTTTGGTTTTTTGTTTTTTTTCTCCCAGAATCTTGAAGGGAAGATTCCAGTAATGTATTATGGCTTTTGTGCTTATAGTACTAACATCTCAACTTCACCAGTGGCTTCAATTTCCTTTCCCAACAAACTTCTCTGGCTATAGGGCTACATCCTATAAGCCAGTGTGACTAACAATGTGGATGGTGTGTGCAAAGCCTCTCTGTTGCTCGACACGCCATGTGTTATTATTCTCATCACCTCTGTAGTTTGTCTTCTTCTTCATGCCTGCCAACTAAGCACCCTTTATAACAGCTTAGCTTGAAGGTAGAACAATTCTTAGAGATGATCCAGGCTTGTGGTTCTTAAGTGTAGACAAGCATGGTCAGCACCCCTCAAAGGTGTGTGCAAACTCATGCTCCAGATTCTAGCATGTTCTCAGAAGGTCTGAGACTTGAATCCCCTTATTTCGCAGGGGAGGAAGATGAGGCTCTAGGAGAGGGATGAGCCTCTGCAGGGCACAAGTTCCACATCAGTGGGACAAGCACTCAGGATGAGTGATTTTCCATCTGGGATTTGCAGAATTCTTTGAGGTGCTTCAGAGATTTCACAAATATTTGCTTCAAATTCCTTTTTAAAGTAGTAGTAGAAATCAAACATTTAGAAACAAAATAGAGAAATTCATTGAATGAAGAACCTGATTTAAGATTATAATTGCCTTTTATAATGCCAATTTTTTGTTTTCCAAAAGTCTTACTGGTTAATATTGAGGACATTATAAATGTGAACTTGAGAACTTGTTGTAGAGCAACCCCGATACAAAACGGGGTGCCTGACTGTGGGTCCTCACCCGCGCGCTTCAAAGGACTTATCAATGCTCTACTGCAGGCACACGCGAAAGGTTAATAAAAGGTTTATTTACAAAGGGAAGGGGAAATGAGGAAATGTGCAGCTCTGGGAGAAAAGTGGGAGACAAAGTTTTAAATGAGTCCTACCCGATCCGTCGATTAGGAATCCCAAAATGGCGCTCTGAGAGCTGGCCGCCAGCCAGGAGCGGTGAAGCCAGGAGGCGAGCGATTGCGAGCCAGAGAGAGAGCCCAAGGCCCACGTGTTTGGTTTTTTATATTCAACCTGGCTGCCCAACTCCACCCTCAGGTCCCAACCACCCTCCCTTGGTGGTGATGGGATTTGTCTTTCCCAGAGTCTTGATGGCTTTAGTCTGGAGTGGGGGTGGGGTCCACAAAGTTAATCCTGTATGGGATTAACTCAGGACATCACTTCCCCCTAACAAACTGATTCTGGGAGAAGACTCTTATCTTTCATGAGTAGTTTCCTTTGAAAAAAGGAGGGTTGCCCCTCCCCCTGGACTCTGGCATTAGGTGGGTTGGGTTTGAACCCCAACTCTGCTTTTGCCAACCATGTGACTTGGTAAGTGTAACCGTTGAGCCTCAGCATCCTCATCCTCCTAGAAGGCATAATGAGTAGCTACAGCACCAGGCTGTTTTGAGGACAACATCACAGAATGTATGTATTAGTGTCTGAGCACCGAGCCAGGTGGCTGACGTGAGATCCATTCATTCAAGATGGTTCTTTGAAGGTCAGCTGCTACTGATTTGCACCCATTGGTTTTATAGCTTCTATTTCTCTCCACTTAATTTGAGGCTATGCCTGCGTGACTAGCTGGGTGACAGCAAGATGTAACTTCCTGTCCTATTTGGATTAAAAAAAAAAGAGAAATGAAACCAGCCAAGGCTTGTGGGGGTGCATGGGTCACAAATGTCCCAGGGAAGATATGCGGGCAGGTGCGCCCTAGGGTACCTGCACAGAGAGATGGCAGATGGACAGGAGGGCACACGACAGAGTGAAGGCAGGGAGGACCTGATGTGTTTCTTTTGAACAACTAAAACCACCACTAGATGCAGAAATAAACAGACGTTCACCCAAAGAAGTCAGGAAAAGTGCAAACTTTATGACGAACAGCATAGGAAAGGGAGGCCACTTGGAGAAAACTCTTGCACTAACCCTCTCATTCTATGGCGCCCACTAGACCTTCTCCCTCCTGAGCTATGATGTTCCATCCTACTGGGCTGTGAGTCCACAAGGCAGAAGAGCAAAGACTCTGGTGTCTGGAGATGGGAAACTCAGGGCCAGAACACATTGTTTCTGTGGGTCTGGGAAGAGATTTCTGCCAGGAAACGGGGTTCCTCGTCCTCAGTGGTCAAGGCTAAACCGCTTCACCAAAGAAAGTTATCATTTTAAAATTCAAAATGTAAAGGCAACTTGAGTTTTAAGTAAAAATGCTCCCTCCATGTGCATTTAAAAACTCATAGAGGAGCCTGGATACCTGGTTCAAGGTTTTCTTAAATAAACTTGGAAATGAGAGGGGACACTCCCAGGCCGGGGCTGACGAGTGAGGGACAGGTATGGGGGTGGCTCTGGGGAAAGAAGGTGCTATTCTTGCATTTCTCTGGGTGAACTCAGAGGAAGTAGGACAAATGTCACCAGCCAGTTTTCCAGACGGGCTTCCTAATATTACAGACTGAGTAACTTGTTCAGAGGGGTTGACCACTTCCTTTTCCAGGAACAGGTGGGGGGATGACTAGGCAAATAAAGATGTACATCCTTATGACAGTCCAAGTTCGAGTGTCTTCTCAAACTCGTGGCTATCATGTCTCCAATCTGTTGTAATCCCTTACATTATTTCATGAGCAGTATTACATCAAGATGGTCATAATCTAGAGTAGTTAAAGCATGAAGACAGGAAAACATAATGGTTTTCTGAAGATAATAGAAAAAAAATTAGCCCTTAAGCTATACAAATGGGTTTACAGACAACTGTTAAGAGAATCTGGAGAAATTTTTTATTTAAAAAAACCAAAACTATTTAGAACCTGATGTAACTAGGCAAAAGTGGATAAAAAGCACTTTGTGACAAGTGTTTTCGCTGGTTTGAAAGATCACAGGTGAGTCATTTAATCACCAAGAGGCTCAAAGAAGTTAAAAAAAAAAAAGACCCAGCATAATTTTAACAGGACCTCCTCAGCAGTGGATGTCGGGGTCTCAGAGGTCAGGGTGACCTTGCTCAGTGGTCATGACCATGACCTTCAGTGCTGAGAGGTACTGGCAAGAAAATGCCTCCTCGTAAGTGAGGGTTATTCTGAAACATGGTTTGGGTGAGTAAACGGATGTCAGGAAAATGTCTTTAATTGAGAGTCCCTGCAAGTAAGGCACAAGTGGGCCAGAGAAGCTGCTTGCCGCCTGCAGTCACTGTGTCCTGCTAAGCCCTGTCCAGTCAGGGTCAGGCGGTGGGAAAAGCCTATTTTCTTGCCTGTGGCCAGCTGCTGACAGCGGGTGCAGAATGACTAATGCAAGTCAAAGAGGAGGGATTTAATCTATTGCATAATCATCTAAATAGAAGAACTTTTAAATGTTTTAAAGAGTCAGATTATCTTACATATCACCGAATTCTCTCTCAGTATTTACATAAGCTAACAGCCTTTTTTTGCCTGCGGTTATGATCACTATACACTCTAAGAACATCACACACAGCAGAAAGGGAAGGAAAGGGAGGGAGAACAGCCACGGTTCTGCCCTACCCTCTCCTTAAGGTCTGAAGGCTAGTTTGGTCCCCGCTCCACCCCTGGGAGGGAAGCGCACTCTGCACTGGCCTCGGGGCTCACTTCTTCATCCCCATGATGTTTTGCAGCATATCTATGGGCAGGGGGAAGACGATCGTTGAGTTCTTCTCAGCAGCGATGGTGGTCAGTGTCTGCAGGTACCGGAGCTGAAGGGCCGCAGGAGACTCTGTGATGACGATGGAGGCTTCCTTCAGAGCCCTGGACGCGTTCATCTCTCCCTCGGCTGCAATCACCTGTGGACAGTGGGAAGGAGCATCAACAGGAGGGAACGGTGGGTGTCAAACTGCAGCTCATACACCTTGGGGGTCAACCAAACTTTCCAGGGGGGATGCTAGAATCATTGCAATGAAATCAATTTCCAGAATTTCCATAAGTTCTTTTTTTTTTTTTTAAAGATTTATTTATTTATGCATACAAGAACTGGGGTACAGGGCAGAGGTGCAGTAGCTCCCTGGGCGGCCAAGGATCGAATTCATGCTGCAGAGGCTGTGGACAGCTTCACAGTGCTGTGCTCAACCCCTTGGCCACCAGGCATGCCCTCCATAAGCTCTTTTTTCCTATAACTGATTTGCCTGAGTATGTGCCTGAGGTCAGGTCAGCCTGTTCTGCATCTCCCAGGGTATCAAACAAAGGGACATTCAGAACACTGATGGGAGGGGCAGAGAAAGTGGACCACCCTGAAGACTGAGAAATTGTCCTGATGCAAGTCAGAGGGATCTTAGTTCTGATTTCAAAGAAAGGAAAGAGGGCTTCCTGAACTGAAAGCTGATCATTAAAAATATTTTTTGATAAGAGCACTATATGAATTTTTAAATACATAAATTCATTGGGAGTGCTAAGAATTGTATGATGTTAAACAAAATTTCCATTTCATAAACAAGGTTTCTTCCTCCTTATATCTTTATTTTATTTTAAGATTTATTTATTTATGCACACAAGAGCTGGGGTATAGGTCAGAGGTGTGGGGGGCGAGAGGATTCACCAGAGACAGAGTGGGCAACAGAACAGGCAGATTGACGGAAATACACTGCTGAGGGGAGTAGTGGGCGAGGCAGGAAAGGTCTGCAGCGCCATGTGGGTTTCTCCCTGGCTGGCCGGGAATTGAACCCGTGCTGCAGAGGCTGCGGACAGCTTCACAGTGCCGCGCTCAACCCTCTGTGCCACCTGGGAGGCCCCTCCTTATATCGTAAGAATAGAATTGATGCTGAATCTTGTCTCATTCTAGCAATAAGAACCATCTACACATACGTAGGTTTGTTTCTCAATCATCATATTAAGTATTTCTAGTAAAATCTCTTATTTAGGAGAAATTCTAAAACAGAGCCTTGAGAAATTAATTCTAACTTACACGAAATGTTTGCAGCAGGTTAATAAGAGAACTCATGACAAAATATATTAGGAAAAGAATCGGGGTGGGGGGAATGAAATATAATTTCAAGGAGAACAAGGAGCAATGAAAAAATTCGGATCGTTAAAGGAGCTTACCCACGTATTTAAAAACAAATGATTAAATGATCAATATTAAAATTTCACTGGACATACTTAAAAGAATGATAATAATTCTACTTTAAAATGTCAATATTGAAAACATGCCAGGAATCATATGCTTGGGAAGTATATAAATACAAAGCGAGCATTTTTACATGTGTGTTTAAAATGTGTGGGTGTGGGAGGGATATACAAGCTTTTCTAATTTTCTTTTGGGGTCACATGGAGACAGAGTTTGAATATCACTGGAATGGTGGCGAGGGCCGGGGTTTGGAGTTAAGTGGACTTGAGCTCAAATCCCAAGCCTCCCCTTTACCTGCTCAATGTCCTCACAAAAGTTACTTAACAACCTGGGCCTCAGGTTTCAAAAAAGGAGAACACTGACCTCAGGCTCTCAAGAGGAAGCCAGAGAAGGTACATGAAGCGTCAATGTACAAGTGGAGGCTCTTATGCAGGAAAGGCAAGTGATAAGCCAAGACCTGATGTTTGGACCCAATTATGCCTAAAGTTTAAAAGATTCAAAGCTAAATCTAGGGGTTATTTTTAATTCATGATTCTGGGAGGAGAGGTATAAGACACCATAGTCCCCAAGATTAAATGAACAGTTTCACCAGCTGGTTTTTATGTGGATCCCCCAAATATTAATGCTTTGTGACACTCCTGTGAGTCTCAGAACTGGAAGCAACGGCCTCAGCAACAGTGAAGTTTATGTAAGCAGCAAACGCTGGGGGCCTTCTCAGTGCCAAGGTCTGTGTGGAATCGAGGGATGGAGAAAGGATGCCCTCGCCTCCTCCAGCTCCTACTCAAGTGGGGGAGACAGGCAGGGACACAGAGCGCCTCGTTCCAGGGCCGAGGCTGGCTGCACCCGCAGAGCAGAGCATGTGGGTAGGAGGCGAGGTTACAGGATCTGAACATGAAAGGTTAAAGGTGTGTTTTCTGGACAAAGGTGAGGAAGAATATTTCACACGACTAGGAACTGAGGTATGGAAAAGTGCGTGTATTCCAGAAAACTGTAGGTGGCTGAATGCTGTGAGGAAGAGGGGAAGGTGGGGGTGCAGGGGGCAGGGTCCCAAGGGCAGTGAAGGCGGGGTGGGTGCTTGGTCTGGTCTTCATTCTACAGGCAACAGGGAAGTTGCAGGAAGGTATGAAGTAGAAAACTCCATCGGCGCTGCCTGAGAAAACATTCTACGGATGTCTGAGGCCAGATCAGATGGGAGAGACGAAGAGCTGGTAGAGGGGCAGGCGCAGCTTGTGGGGTGGGTACGCGATGGCACGGCTGGGGAGCTACTAGGAGGAAAGGGGTCCAAAGGCTGAGTCCCACATTTCAGTTGCCTGGCTGGTGCCAAAGGTGAGATGGGGGTACCCTCTAATTTGGGAAGGGACCTAGTTTAGAGGAGAAAAGCCTGGACTTCTGAAAGTAATCCATTCTGTCCTACCCAGGATGGCGTGGAGGGACAGGTGCCAGACATGCTCCGGAGGACCGGGTGCCCCTCGCAGGCACTAACAGACCCCTGCGTGCGTGCAGCCGGCTCTGGTTTCCCTCCTTGTCAACTCAGATGTCCAATTAGGCACTTCGTTTTGTTTGGACACGGACCAACGGCAAAGATATCTCATCTCCCACCAGCAATCAAAGTCCCATCTCTTGGCTGGAAAACCAGCCCCACTGGGCTGGGCACACACTTGTTCATAGAAAATGGGCTCTGAGCGAGCTGCCAACGACGTGAACACAACACTGCCAGCTTGGTCTAATTATAGGCCAAGCTCGGTGCCGACAGGATCTTAGAGGAGAAGCGAGACACTCGCGGGCATGTGGAGCGTTGGCCAAATGCACATTTGTCCATGTCAATCAATGCTGCAAAAGTCCAGACCATCAATCTACAACCTGGCACTATCAGGTATGCGAGCTGGGTACCACAGCCCAGGCCGGCTGGTCTGAGGGGCGGGCGGAGAAAAGACATCTGTGTTTTCACACTCCGCTCTCCAATGAGCACATGACCAGGCCCAGAAATAGGAAGCTGAAGGCACACCAGGCACTGGCCCAAGAGTGATGAAAAAGGAAAAAAGGGGAGAATTCAAGCCCAGAAGAGGCGACATTTCAAGCCATCGAGTTGGCCTTTAGACTTGAAGAGGCTTGGTGAACAGAACGCAAACCTGGTGGCGAACCTGGGCTCTTGGGGCGAGCTCTTTTCACCCCACCTACATCTGTGCGCGCTCAGGTGTTTGCCGTGCAATGCTCCCGCGTGTGGCTAAAGCACACCTCACCGGTCCTTCACATAGGGATGGACACTGGGGTAATTTTCAGTTTGGGACCATTACAAAGTGCTGCTGTGAACATTCTAGTACTTGCCGTTTGGTAAAGAAATGAGTGCGTTTCTGTTAAATACATACGGCCAGGCAGCTGGCCACGGTGGTTGCACCGACGGATACTCTCACCAACAAAATAGGAGTTCCAGTTCCTCCCTCTCCCGTACTTGGTAATTTTCTCTCCCTTTCTGCTTTCAAGTCTTCCTGGTGGATGTCTACAGCAGCATCTGCTCACGATTTGGATATGCATTTCCCAGATGGCTAATTAACTTGAGGAATTTTTCTCTGCTGTCTCAATCTATAGGCTTTTCCTTTGCAATTTATTTAATGGTGACGCCCCTATTTTCTGGAAGAATTTGAATATATGCTTTGATGACATAGTCGCCTGGGTGGGGCAGGGGGACTGTATTTTACAGAAGGGCCAGACTGCCTGTGATTCGGTGTTTGTCCTAATGACGGTCGAGGCCACTGCTGCTAGACCCTGCGGCCCCCTCCAAGCAGGAGCCCTGTAATTCAGGACTCTAACTCGCTTCCTTTATCTCTTCTTGTTCTAAAGGGTGATAGGGCCCATCTTTCCTAATTTGTGAGGATGCCTGTAAGAGGCTCAGCCCACCCAGGAAAATCCAGAAGAGGCAGCTGTGAGTAGAGGGGAACTCTGATTTCCATGGCCCCGACTCAAGTGCGTGACCTCGAGGAAGTCACCTCTCTCTTCTGGGCTTTCATTTTTTTCCATCTGAATACAGTGGGCTGGTAAGTGAGTTTCATTTAGGCTCAGTTACAAGCAGTTGAAGATTGTTACCTGGAGGGTGTTGCGGGGTTCTGAGGTCACATTTAAGCACAGTGGAAAATGGCTCTGTGGTTAATTACCGGCAGGGGAATAGCAGGAGGGGTGGCAGCATCTGGGCCAGGTATTTGTCACCTTTGAAGATAATCTCCAAGGACATTTTGGGCTCTGATATTCTACGTACTCCAAGAAAGACACGTCCTTTTATTCAATATGGTTTGGAAATGGGGCTTTTGGTTAATGACCTATTCTAGGTAAAAGCCATTCCTAATTTTCAAAATAATTAGATTACAGAGGGACATATTTAATTTCATTATCGTAAATATAATTTAGTCTTCTGTATGTGATGGTTTTGAGGGTAAGTGCTCAAGGGCTCTGTAGTATCATCACTTGCATAAATTATTATATTAGGAGAACCCCAACATTCTGGTTAGTAGAAAATTCTGGGTATAGTTTGTCAAAGGAACCAGCACTATTTAGTGCTGGTTTCGAAATTAAAGTTTCAAAATTAAAGTGATCAGCTTTTAGTTGAAAGGGCATCCTAACAGAAGGGCAGGGGCCTGTGGTTGGCCAATTATCAGCAGTTACTATTTTCTGATAACCACAAATTGGTCTGCAATTTGTATCTTGGTGTCAGTCAGGTCCATAGCAACCCCTCCCATGGAAACTGTCGCTTCCTGCGCCTTCACAGGGAAGGGACCTTATTCCTGTGTCTGTGCCCTCTGGCCCAAGGTGTAGGACTGGAGAGACTCTGCGGTGACTCTGGAGTCAGGGCTAGTCTGTTTTCTTTTGTTGTTCAGCTGGGGAGACATGTAAACGTGGGAGTCAGATCTTCTCCCCATGAGCTGTCGTGAGACATGGCCCAGGAAATGGAACGACCCTTGAGTCTCAACAGTGGTCTGGTGCCTGGTTCCAATTCTGAGGCATCTTGATTCTACCCTGGGTTGGCGAGATATCCTTGAATCCCTGTCATGGGTCATCCCAATAGATCCGCTTTCCCAGGTTAGGTGAACAAAATGGGGTCAGTACCCAGGCAGGGTTGAGACATAAGGGGGAAAGGAGCAGACAACAAAGAAAGGAAAGTGAATAAAAGGAAGTAGGAGAGGGAGAAGAGGAAGCAGTTAAAAGAAGAGTCGAGAAAAGAGAGACAATGAAAGTGAAGACAAAAGTCAGAAAGGAGAGATGGTAAGCAAACTGCTGAGACTGTCCCTTTGCTCGGAAGTCAGCCCTGCCACCTGGCTCTTAGTGGGGGACAGGCCGAACGAGGCAGGGTGTGTAGCCTGCCAAGAATGGGGTGGGGTGACTGTGTGTGCTCTCCCCATGAGATGTTGACAAGGAAAAAAGCAAGGTGGAGAACACCAAGTGTACACGACCCTACTTTTGTGAAATGAACAAGCCAACAGCCTAACAACGCCGCCAAATAACCCCCAAAAGACAATGTGGAAGCACAGATGCCAAGCTGTTATGAATGGAGGCCTGGGAGGGAGGTGGGGGCAGGGAGGATTTGAAGTCATGGGAAGGCTTTCATTTCTACGAAATACTTCAGGATTATTTCAATTTTTAACAAGTTTTGCTTTCTTGTACTTAAGGAAGAAAGCTCAGTCAGGAAAACAAGCTACACACACACAAAAAAAGATGGTTACCTTGGCTCGGGCCTCACGGGACGCTTCTGCTTCTGCAGCCATCGCTCTCTGGAGCTGCACAGGCAGCTTCACGTCCTTGATTTCCACACGCTCCACCTTTATTCCCCAGTCATCAGTGGCATCGTCCAGGGTGCACTGGTAGGAAGAGAGAGGCAGGCTGAGAACAATCAGGCCCAGTCTTGAGGCCTCAGGCAGCATGTTCAGCCCTGGTACCTGTTCAGCATCTTCAGGCAGCATGTTCAGGCAGCTGACTTCGGGGCGCCTGGTGTGGAGAGAGAACCGGGGGGACTCTCCGGTGAAAAGGATGCTGAAATAGGGGCCAGGCCAATGATCCTGACTCTGTTACCAATTAACTAATGCAGGAGTTGGCAAACTTTTTCTCAAAAAGCCAGAGAGTGTTTATTTTCAGTCTCTTTGCTCTATTTAGCCTTGTTGTTGTAGCTCAAAAGCAGCTGTGGATAACGCGCAGACCTATGGGTGTGGCTGAATTCTACAACCAGGCCCAGGCAACTCCTGAGCTGTGACACAGAGCAGGCACATTCCCTCCCTGGGCTTCAACTACTTCCCTTTACAACGACAGGAAGGAAATCATACTTCACATGTTGTTTGTGGGCATCAAATAAGGCCACAGATTGTACGCCCTATGAAGTCTACACAAACAAAAAAAGCTCAGATTTGTAGTACTTCAGCATTTTCTGAACAAGCCAGGTTTAACTCAACATCTTTTACTCAAGCAAGAGTGGAAAGTTTGAGTTATTAGGGAAGTCCTGGGACTCACCCAGAGAACAGACTGCAACAATGCCCGCTTTATCTTGCAGAATGGTCAATGAACTGTTAGGCTATAGAATAAGGTTAATAATAAAATAGGGGGAAGAATACACACAGTGGGGGATGGAATAAAAAAAGCAATGCATGCATCTGAGTGCTAAAAGTCAGGAACTATTTGTGTGAAAAGCACCTCCTTCCATCAAGTTTGGGAAAACCTTTCTATGAAGAAAAAAAGGTCAGCGATTCCCCTACTTCAAGGAATAGAAAGTTCTCAAACACTGCCCCTTCGCTTCATTTTTCAGTTTCTGGAGGTGCCGGCGCTGCATGCTCTCCTCACCTGCATGTTGTGTGCAATTTCCTCTCTGTCAGAGAGGATCTGAGAAAGGTTCTTGGTGCCCAGGACGTTCCGCAGGGTCGTTTGTGCCAAGAGGCGGGTAGCCGAGTCAGCATTGGTGATGTTTGCCACAGCCAGGGTGGCGTTCTGGACGCGGTAATAGACCACGCCATCCACGCTGATTGTCACCGAGTCCTTGGTAAGGATCTACGGGGCAAAGGAAGCAATTGTTCAATATATCTGCCACCCGGCTAGGTCTTTAATGTAAGACGTGCTGTTCGACACTGTATCTTTTAACACGGGCAGGCTTTCTTTAGTAAGTGCTATCAACTATATACTTGTGGGCCTCCATTAGTGGTGAGGGTGCAGCCCTCGTGAATGAGATTAGTGCCCTTGCTAAAGAGACTCCAGGGAGCCCCCTCACGTCTTCCACCATGTGAGGACACGGTGAAAAGACGACCATGTACCGGTGAGGAGGCAGGCCCTCCGCAGACACCTAATCTGTTGGTGCCTTGCTCTTGGGTTACTCAGCCTCCAGAATAGTGAGAAATAAGTTTCTGTTGTTTATAAGCCACCCAGTCTCTGGCATTTTGTTTCAGCAGCCCAAAGGAACTAAGACAGGAGAGCCTGAAAAAGTCAGTTATAGCTTTAAATTTTCATAACATGCAGTCACTAATTCCTAGTCATTCATTCAGTCATTCAACAGATACTGAGACATCATAAAGCAGCAGACACTGTACTGGGTACCTGGGACAAAGGTATGAAAAAACTTGGTTTCTAATTTTCGAAGAGGTTGGGGGATAAGGGCGAATGAAAGGGACAGATGCTGGGCAGTTGTAGGTGGCAGGGGTGATGTTTGAACTAAGCCTAGAAGAAAAGAAAAATTTCCTGAGGGTGGAGTGAGACCATATTCAGGGCTGATCAAATAAGGTGTGAAGAGGCACAGGGGTGTGAGAGGGCCTCCGTTTGATGAACTAAAAATAGCACACATTACTGGAACAGAAGGTGAATGGGGGATGTTTCTATAGGGAGAGAACAGGGTAAAAACATATTTACAGCACACTAATAAAAATGCTGGGCATGATATAATGCACCTCTGGTGCAAGGGCCTTAGCGTGGTACATGTCCTGTGACAGGTGGTCCCGTGGCCTGGCTCCTCCCTTCTCTGTCCTGCACACACTAAAGCAGACACCCTGCAGTCCTGCACGGACCATGTTCCATGTCTCCAGGCCTTTATGTCGGTGTCACCTGTGCTTGGATGTCCGCTCCTTTATCTCGCCACCACATCCACATCCTACTGGCCCGTTCTTACTCATCATTCAAGACACAGCTCAAGTGTGTTTTTCTCTGAGAAACATTCCTAACTCACTTGGCAGAGTTAAACAGGCTTCCCTGGACACTTTGCTGTAGTGACATTATTGTTTACATTGTTCCTGCTCTCTGAGACGATGAACTTTTGGGGGGCAGTCTGTCTTTGCATCTCTAGCCCTGGCACAGTGCCTGCCCCATCGCAGGTGGCGAATAAAGGAGAGATGAGTTGAAATGACACATGGTCCTAGCAATTCAGTGATGGACAAAGAGCCAGGAGTGACAGTGAGGGCCTGAACGCTAGTCCCAGCCTTGCCTGTCCCTCCCGCCGTGATCTCTAGCAAGGCTTCTCCTCTGTGGGACCTGGACTTGCCTCGCTGGTGAGATGGAGCTAAGAACTGCCCAATTCTACACAAATTTCTTGGAAGGTCAAATAAAATGTTTGTGCATGAAGGCCCCTTGAAAGTGTGAGCTATGTAAATGCAAAGTAATAACAGCAATATCATCCAGCTGTGAGTGCCACCAGGCACAAAGCCATAATCCTTTTTTTAGTAATCTAAAAATACTTCTGGCTTGGAAGAGAAGTGGGGGATTTGGAAATAAATGTACTGTACATTACCATCTTGTGCAAGAATTAAATATTCCCATGATGTGATGGGAAAATGTGTATCATTTCTAAGCAAATTCTTGCCACAGTGACTGTGCCACAGCCAAAGCTTTCTAAAGCGACAGCCTCGCTTATTGTTTATCGTCAGCGGCATGTTTATCTCCCTTAACTGTCAGTTCCAGGGGATCGGAAAAAGGACTGCTTGCCAGGTTCAATCTGCTCTGTGTTCAGCAGCTTGTAGAGGGGAAAGAGCAGCAGTTGGAAGGCAGAAGCTTCCAGAGACCCTGCCAGATGCTTGTAATGTTGCATAGAGGAAAATGCCAGAAGAATTCTCAGCTACCCCAAAAGGGGCTCCTTTGGTGCATCAGCCTTCCTGGAAAGGTGGGAGGTCATGCAGAGAATACGCGACGCTCTCAGGCTTGTCTGTGTGGGTAAATTGACTTCTGGTGCCACTACGGATGTGTGGATTAGAAAGTCTGATCTAAGAATTACTTGGATTGGTGCCAGCGAGGAAGTTCCTAAAGCTGGATTCTGGATCTTGTGACAAGAGAAGGCAGAGTCAGCAGGCTCCAAACACCCTGCTGAGGACCTGGTCCTTGGCCAGGAAACACTGACAGGCGTCCGAAGTCCCCCCTTCATCAAGGTTTTTATGTTTTCTGCCTGCAGTGGTTATAACGCCTCTTTAGGAGTATGGGGAAGCCAGCACTTCCTCCAGGGCCGCGATGTTGCTAATGTAAAGTGCATTTAGCACGGGACTGCGGAAGAAGCAATGGGCAGGAATTCCGAAAAGCTGGATGTTAGTCTTCGCTCTGCCAATGTAGTCTGGAGGAATTGCTATGTCCTGCGACATTTCAGGGATTCTGCCATTTCAACTGTGATAGTATTTGCAAAGTGGCTTGAAAAAAGCAGGAAGTGATTACTAATATAAAACATTATATGCTTTACCTAAAATGTCAAATGAGCATTTTTTTCTCATTCTTTGGCTTCTAACCAATTTATCTAGAATAAAAGCAAGAACCTTAGGAAGAGATACTGCGCTAAATAGAATTTTCTATCAGAAACTCATAAAGGAGAAATGTGGTAGTGAAAACTATGATGACTGTGTTAATGCTAACATTATATTTAATTGACATGACACCACACTTTGTAATACTAATAACAGCAGGCACTCTTATAGCACCTATTATTTTATTTTATCAGCCACTGTTCTAAGGACTTTATATGCCTCATTTTGTTTGCATAAAAACCTTGTAAAGTAGGTCCTACCATTATCACCTCGATTTTACAGATGAGGAAACTGATGCATAGAACAATTGAAGAGCTTGCTCAAAGTCAAGCAGTTACCAGAGGGTGAGGACAGATGATCTAAATCTGCACTCTGCTGCTGTGCTAAGCCTCCCACTGTCGAGCACTTCCACACATGACATCTCAGTTCCAGCAGAAGACACCTTACCTCCTGGGGAGGAATATCAAATGAAATAGTTCTCATGTCCACTTTGATGAAGCTGTCAGTGCATGGCAGGATAAAAAACAAACCTGCAAGCAAGACACACCGAGGCTGAGAGAGCGACACCGGCACCTAATTGGTTTACCACCCTTCAATTAAAACAGAATCACCCTGATTGACTGAAAGTCACTGGTTCACCTCAGTGAATATGCCAGAAGCCAAGAATACGATCTTCAGTAGGTTTCGCTTCCTTATTCCACTGTGACTGAAACCCCTCCTGAAACCAGTATAGCCATTTCCCATGTTAGCTCTCTATTTCTTCTATTTTCTCTCCTATGACACATTGTTTAAGCTGCAAGCAGCGCCATCTTTCCTGAAATACACCCCTAAACAAGCCATCCTGTCCTGGCTTACCTCTTAGGCCACTGCCCTGCTCTCTGGCCAGCTGAGCTACCTGCAATTCCTTGAGCCTGCAGAACCCTCCTCCACCTTGCTTTGGACATGATGTTATTTCTGCTGGGAAACTCCACGCCCCCTGGCTAATAGCTTTGCAAGCCTCAAGGCTCCAGGCTCATTCCAGAAAGCCTCCTCTCATCCTAGTGGGTAGGGCCCAGCACACTTCTCTGGTTTTCAAAGCTCCTTGTGATGACTTGATGGGACTGTACCTGCGTTTCCTTGTAGGGCCCCACCACTAGAAGGGAAGATCCCTGAGGGCAGGGACTGTCTTAATTTCCCTTTAACTCCCAGAGCCTAGAACACAATTGGAACTTAATCGTAGTTTATCAAAATCAAAAATAACGAGTGAAAACCTTTATTTTGGGGGACTCTCATGCTTACACTACACTGCTGTAGCTATTCCTAGCCTAAAATAACCTTATGGGGTCAAATGGGAAGGGGAGGGGAGAAGAGGGCAGGAAAAGGTGACTCTGGCAAGGCTGGCCAGCACTGCTGCTATTGTTACCAGGCTTCTGCTACAGGAAGTCCTTCCCGAGTCAACAGAGTAGACACCCCTGTCAATAAAAAGGTCACATTTCGGGTTCCAGGCAAACAATCCAGAATCAAATACTGACCTGGTCCTTTGGCTCCTCCTTGCAAAATGCGACCCAATCTAAAGATGATGGCTCTTTCATATTCTTTTATGATCTAGATTCAAAACACAAAGAGTAATTTTATGTGAGAAGTGTAAATATTTGCATGCGTGATTTTTTAAACATGTATTTTTGTTCTGAACAGGTAAGGTAATGCTATTTTGTATTTATTCTCTATAATCCAGATAATATCTTAGAAATAACATGCCAAGAAAGTTGACTATTTTTTGCTGAGTATAAAAGCAATAGATATTTATTGTATATAAATTGGAAGGTATAGCGTATGGAAGCAAACCCATGACCTCGCTCTTTAGCTATTAATATCAGTATTTAATTACTCATGCATTAATACAAAAAAGAAAAGGAAAAATAGCTGAAGTCCTCATAGTTGTTACGGGACTTCTGCTACAGGAAGTCTTTCCTAAGTCAGGTAATGAGGGTGAACTTTCCAAAAGCGAGATGAAGAACAAGCAGTTATAAGCCAGGGGTCAGTCTCTGTCAGCCAACTTCTCCAACACACATAAAGTGAGTTTATGTGGTTAGGAGTTGACCCTTATTTCCTCAAGCAAATGAAACATTCTTTACCTTGATGCACATCCATATTGATACCGGGAATGTTATAACTGTGAACAAGAATGACACAATCACCAAAATCCATCCACAAGGTCCAAGGCCTGGACTGGGGGAATCTGCAAGAACAAAAAATAAACAGCTCTAATTGTTGTTATCAGAACAACCGCCAAGACCTTCATCTTTACCACCCGCTGACTATGCCTGGCACAATACTAGCTCTTCTACATCTGTGCTGCCCTCTGATCCTCAGAACAATGCCAAAGTGTAGGTGCTACTTTCCCCAATTTCTTTACCATGATAACACAGCTATTCCCTAAATGATTTCTTATTGTATCCAGCAAACATTTATTAAGCACCTAATATTTGTTATGCCTTGAATTTTGCATGGAAGTAATAAAAGTGAATAAGACCCCACCCCAGCTATCAGAAAGGCTAAAGTTTGTGGGCAAGACAGATAATTATAGGAACAGATAATTGTAATACCAGGTGGTAAGTGCAGATACATGGAGCCCATTCAGAATATTCTGAAGACACAGAACAGGGGTCATGCACACAGTTGGTGTTTGGGTGAAAGTGAGTAGAGAGGGTGGGTGGGTGATGGTGATGGTTGTCAGAGGGTCTTCTTAGAGGAAATAGCAGTGAAAAGGAAGGGGAAGGAAGTAAAAGGGCATTTAAGATGACAGTACAGCATAATTAAAGGTGAAAATCACATAATATATGGGCATAGACTCATTTAGATCCTCTTTAAAAATGACACCTGCAAATTATTTCAGAGGGTTATAGGCACCCTAATTATTATCCATGTCCTGATTATTACAGGTTTTCTGATTTCTTATGATTATTAACAACTTGTAGTGACTATCTTTGTTCATATTTTCTTTCACATTTCTAATTGTTTCCCTTTTCTGTAATATGCAATCACTTTTTGTCTGATTACAAATGTATGCCCACTGCAAAAAATTCAGAAAAGTATACAAAAGGAAAAACTTAACCCAGAGATAATATTCTCCCAAACCTTTAGAGTATACATATAATTTTTATAAAGAAAGAAATAAAATTTGTAAGCCATGATTCTCCCTTCCAGTTACTCCTTTCACACCTTTTTAGTCATGGTTGCTTTTTCATTTAAAATATTAGCTCGGGGGAATGAAGGGGGAAATTAAATCAATACTTGCATGAAGTTAAAAAGTCATATAGTTCTAAAAATTAGTACAAAGGGCAGCAGCCCCCTGCCTCCTCAAAGGCTGAGGATTGTGGCACTGACCCCCATGTATCAAAACACGCTTGTTATTTCTTCCTTTTTCAGTTTTGAGCATTAGTGACTGATTTCCACTAAGGAGGAAGATTTAGTTCTCATCCCCCTTAACCTGCCACATAAACAACGGCCTCCTTCTAATTACGCTATCATTTTGGTGATAGCAATGACGAATTTCATGTTATCACGAACATGTAAACACGATCACAGCTAAGCTACATAGTGAAGCAGAATGAGTTTTCCTTTCTGGTACAAATTTTAGTTTCTGGAATCAGAGTCTTGCTCGTCCCCTTTGTCTTGTTTTCACCATTCTTGCGGATTCCACCTCGAATCTAAACCTGCTGTCTGTGGGCTCTGCTTTGTCACCTTAACCCTCCGCTGGCACCCTGCTTTGGGCTCGGGAGTCCCAGCCCACACCCCCGGAAGGCCCATCACCACCACCGCAGGAAACCCGTCATGCTCTGGCCTGTGGGTTCTGTATTCAGTGTCTTCCCCATTTTTAATTTGTGCAGGACAGAGGGACTGAGGAGGCCAAGGACACCCTCCCTTTCATCAGTCACCGAAGGCTTCGGCTGCCTTCCCAGTTGCTGCTGGAGTAACGGGAGAGAGATGAGCATGAGGGCGATAAGAGCAGAGATGGCAGCAAGACAGACTTAGATAGAAAGAGAGGATGCCAAGACATAAGTAGAGGGTTAAGATGGGGAGCGTGGGAGAAAAGGGGGCAGGAGTTGCTATCCAGGTTAAGTGTTGTAGAGCCAGAGTCTACGTGAGAACTCTGGTGGCACAGACTGGAGTTTTCTGAGCTGGTGTCTCAGTAGGAGGGAATACATCAAAGTGACGCAAGTGACTCCTCAAGGTTTCTAAGCTGTAAGTTTTTGGAGCACAGACTGAGAGAATCTTCAAAGCAAGGCCAAGGTGCTATTGATGGAGGAGACTCTTAGGTCTTAGCCTAATTGCTGCCATCTTAAGACAGCTCATGGTACCTAGGCACAGGTCCAATTACTTTAGATACTTCATTTACTCCTTACCAAACCCTGTGAGGAGTTTTCAAGTTCAACGTCAGTAATGCAACCTCGCGCCCAAGCACACACTATGGAGGATGCGGGGTCGCGAATACAAGTCCTCTTACTCCAAAAGCCCATGTTCTAAAATCAGTGCACTCTTGGACTGTTTGCCTCTGAATTTAAAAATCCTCATTAAATTAGTGTTTGTGTTTGGGTCACTTTCTCCAGACATTACGCAAACACAGTAGGACTGGGGAGGAAGCTGATAGTCCTACAGAGGAAGCCCTCTTAACTCTAGCTGCCTATTTATAGCAAAAGAAGTCTCAAAGCTCCTGCCAGGCTGGGGTCTAGGTTTCCAACCTGAAGTGGATTCCAAATAAGGAACTGAGTGGCCACAAATACTTATCTGACAGCATCTGGTGCTTTCTAAAACTGCCCAGGGCTCGCATATTTCAGGCAAAGTGCTTAGCTCTGAGTGCTGAACTGGGAGCTGTGGCTTATAATTTAATTACCTTTATATTCTCAATGCCCTGTAGAGAATGGGTATAAAAGAGCAACCCTCTTACCCAGTTTTCTAACTGACGTGTATCTCCCTTTCTCTGAATCTTGATAGTGCTTTTAAACCTCTCTCATGGCACTTGGGGGAAGGCAACGGAGAAAAGGTGACAGCGTGTTTGAAACAGGAGTGAGGCTGTCCCCCCCAGCCGCCCTAGCCCCTTGGAAAGTGTGTGCCCTTCGCTTTATCTGTTCCAGAAGCCGCTCCAAAGATGGAGCGCTGAGAGAATGTGGTATGTCATGTTTTGGTGGGACTGTGGATAGCATATGTGACTGAAGACCGTTACGGGCAGGATAGGGAGCAGAAACTCCTAAGACAAAGTCTCAGAAGCAGCTTAAAATGGCCACTGACCACTCTGGAGCGGCCTACCTTTTCCTCTGGCCTCTCCTTGCCCTCAGCACAACAGTTTTCAGTTGGTTGCTGGGAAGTTCCCAGGAGGTTATGACTCAGTGCCTGATACTTTTAATTTTGTGCATTTATATCCCTTCCTAGACCTGAGATTCCCTGAGAATAAAAAATTGTCCATGTCTCCATTTGAATTCTGTTATCATATTATCATAACAGAAGCCATCTTAGTTGAGTGATCTTTCTCTCTTGAATAAAGCACATTTACCTCCATGGTCTGTACTCCTTACTCCCTGTAATAGTGAGATTGTGCTCAGTAAATACAGGCAGATGATTGCTTTCTATAATCCTTTTATTGTACCCAAGTGTTGACATGAAAAATGAGAAAATAACTAGCATTTGCCCTTTTTTGATAAAATTCTCTTAAACTACTTAATTTCCCTCCCTGTCAGGCTAGGTGTGGACAATCAAAGACCCTCCAGAAGCTTATTCATGGATTGTTAAATTATTGCATCATTAACATGAGCACCAGGCAGAAAATCCAACCCAGTTTTTTGGTGCTCAGTCGGGGCTGCCACATTGTTTTTGAAACCCCAGGTAAGTACGTGGGATAACAAATCAAGAGGAGAAGTGGGTGTTGTGAGAACTGGTCTCGCTCTTGCACATTTCAAATGCTAAGTTGGAAATAATAGGAGTATAAACTGAGGAGACTGGCACCATTTCATATTATTTGAATGCCTTTAACTTTATCCCTTTCTCAATGCTTGCAATTCTTTCTTACTGGTTATTGTTCAAAAGGTACATAAATCACATTCCTCAGAAAGGCGAGGCTTAAACTCCACTAGGCTGACATGAGCCCTTCGTCACTAACATGAGCAAAGGGGGTGACATTTTCTCATACTTCCCCAACTTTCATGGAATTTACTTCCTTCAAATTTCCCATTATCTTTAGGACTTTAGGACTAAATCCTCCTGACCAGCTTTATGAGGTGAAAGACAAACAACGAGCAGTCGGTAATCCTGAGATACTCTGGTTAATGTAACTAAAGATATTTTGCTGGGTGGGAACATCTGGAAGATTAGGGATCCCATGATGCTTGGCTGTAAATACTACTTTGCCACTGTTTAGAATATTTTTTCCTTTTGAAAACCATTTTAGAATAAATGTTTAGGCAAGGGCCTCCCCTGTGGCGCAGCGGGTTGAATGCCAAGCTGTGAAGCTGTCGACAATGTGGGTTTGATCCTGGCCGGCCAGGGAGGGACCCACATGGTGCTACCGACCTCTCCTGTCTCGCTCGCTGCTCCCCTCAGCAGTGTATTTCGTCAGTCTGCCTGTTCTGTTCCTAGCTCTGTCTCTGGTGAATCCTCTCATCCTCCCGCGCCTCTGGCCAGTAGCCCAGCTCTTGTATAAAAATAAATAAATCTTAAAAAAAAAATCTAAACGTCTTTAAAAAAAAGAATACATATTTAAGCAAAACAAAGATTTGCAAATGGATATAAACCTATATATATTAGCATTTTTAAACTGGACATTCCAAGTGGGCTTATCACCAGAAAAGTAATATATTTTTTAATATGTTTTTTTTTTTCAGTCTAGAGGCAATAACATTTTTTTAGTTTAGTGGCAATAACATTGCCACTATAAAAATTAGAGATTACAGTTTAGCAAAGAGAGAAAGAGAACTTATCCTATTTTCAATACCTCTGGATGGTGATTGTTTTCTATTACACATTTTCTATCCTACTTTTCTCACAAATGAAATAATAGTATACGCAATGATTTAAAATCTGCTTCATCCCCTAATTATGAACATCTTTTTATGTCAACATATATTCTTTATTATTAACACTTGTTTAATATTCCACATTTAGGTTGTGTTTAATTTTCTTAATTAGAAACTCATTGCACCGAACATACATTTAGCAACTTCCATACATCTTTATTGTATAAATCTA